CGTAATTAAGAAGTGGAAGCAGCATTTGAAGCTTTAAAGATACTCTTTTGTTTTTGCATTAATCAATTATCACATTATTTTTTTGAAGACATTCTTTATAGAAAAAAATTTCTTGGATGTTGATCACTCTTCTTCTTTAATCTACATATTTATATTTGAATAGAAATTTTTTCTTATTGAGTTATTTAATTTCTTCATAAATTGGCAAGTAAATAAAATTATAAGTCCAAAGAATTGTGACCAATTTTTATCTCAATTGAATTGGAAAATTTTGCAAGATTGCAAAAACCTTTGTTAATCCTAAATTTCAATTATCTAAGATTATAACCTACAAAAACTCTCATAATCATCAATTTAACTATTTGATTAATATCAAGTTTTAGAAACATATTCAAGACACATACAAGGACAAAGTAGCAAAATTTAACCTACAAATATGCTATAATGTTTATAAAATCTTTAAAATTATAAAAATCTTTTTATTTTTTAAAATCTTAATCTATTGATTTTTTTAAAAAAAAAAAAAAAAAAAAACCCTCAAAACTTCAATATGCCTTCAAATCATATGCAATCAACCTTTAAAAATCCTTTCACAAGTTTGCTCTTAAATCACACTCTCCAATCAATCAAAAAATTTTAAAGACATTGTAAATAAATGGTTTTGTACCTTAGAATTTGATTTTAAACTTGGTTTACAATCAGTCCTCTTAAAGTATCAATTCTTGATATTGTGAAGTTATTTTTGCTAAAACCTATTTTTAATTATTTTTTAAAGATATCTATAAAAATTATTTTATTTATTTATTTTTATTTGGTTCATTTATGCTCTTAAAAAGTAAGTAGAAGTTTCCTTTGTAAAATGATAGCATTATCACTTATTATTTTTTATTACTTCTTTATCTATTATTTATATTTTTAAGATAATTTGTTAAAATATTTTCATTTAAGCTCCTCTATAATAAAATATTTTCTTTCTTCTTTCACCTAATAGTTGTGTTATTATACAACATCATGTTGGTGCTTGTTTAATATGATAGGATTATAGTTGACTAAAGATGCAGATGTGGTACTTTCTCAATTTTAGTTGCTTACTATTTATAATTCAATGTATAGTAGCATTATTAAATATTTCTATTGGAATTCTCTTTTCTATATCAATGATGATTATCTTGTTGGATTGAAGCCCTTACATGAAGTAGAGTCGTGTTTAGCATCAAGATACATGATGCCCTGAAGTGATCTCCTAATAGATTGATTTATTATTATTCAAGCGTTGTTGTGATGTAATACAACTATATAGTGAAATTGTAATCAAAGTTGAATTTCTAATTAATATCTAATTATCTTAGTTCAATTATAATTTGAGGTATCTAAACATGATTTTTATGAAAGCCTCTTAGATTATTTTCTTATCTTAATAGTTAGTAGGTTGAAGGTTAGTTAGTAATTTTACCTTCTAGGTTGTAGAGACTCTTCTATTACTTTAGAAAGACCATAGATTAATAAAATCATATTAGAAGAGGTAAATAATTAATATAGTTGGTATTAAGATTAAGTTGAGAATAGGGTTGGACTAAAAATACCTTAGGATAGGTTAGATTGATATCCGGGGGTCGACCATTTGTGAGACAAAGTCGAAATCAGACCTCTAACTACTAAAACGACGGCCTAAGACAAAATAAGAAATCATTTGAAGATTAGAGGTTAGGATTTGAGAGCTATCTTGAAGTTCTTTCCAGAAACATAAGAATTTTTTTGAGAAGATTTTAGAGGACTTAGAAATTGTTGTTCAAAGTCAGGGTTTGTATTAGTGATTTGGATTTTATATAAAATAATTAGGGCTAGTAATTTTGGCTAGTTCGTGCAATTGGCATGACATCTACAATTAAAAATTTGATAATGTTTGGATTATTAGATGTGCTAAGTGTATACAAAATTTTGTGATAATCTAATAGCGTGGTTTAGAGATATCTAGTTTTAAGCACAAAAGGGTTTCGGAAGTTGGCACTTTGAGGTTGGGTAGGATTTCTATGATATCTGAAGATATATTAGTCGGATTAAGGTGAAAATTGGCATGATGTTGAAGGACTTGAAGACTAAGCTACACACCAATTTTGAGACAAAGTTAATTGTTGGAAAGGGAGAAATCATTGCTGGAATTTCTGCTTCACTTTTTAAGTTGGTAGTTGAATGACATTAGTACAATTTTTGGAGGTTTTCTCACAATCTATAAGTTGGATTGGGCTAAAAATTCTTGAGCATATAGAAGACTTGTATTGATAATTGCATGCAAAATTCTACATCAAGTGGTTGGTCGGATTGGATGTTACAGCTTATTAAAGCTCACTGATTAAGATTGAGGCTTAGAAGAAAAATCTAAATTGCTTAAATATGAAAGTAACAAGGTAATTGGGATTTATGTATAGTTAAGACTACTAAGAAGAGTGTTTTAAGCACTTTTGAATTGAAATTCAGATTATATTCTTCTCGTATGGATGAAACCTATTAGGATTTCTTGGCTACTTATGAAATACAATCTCACCTTCTACAACTAGGTGCTTGGCGCATTCCTTAGCAAACAACTTATAATACGACAGTGTTACAAACTTCAGACTTAAATTATTAAAAGCATGTTGATTTAGGAGATTCATATGTTGATGGAATGAGATTCTCCATTATTATTTTATAAAACTTCTTGACATATCAATTCATGTCTCCACTAAATTCTATATGTGTAGAGGGTGATTGATGGAAAATACTAAGTACATATGTTGTTAAAAGTTTGTCGAGTTGTTGCGGTCCTACAAATTTTCCACATGTGTATGATAAAAAGTAGTAGAGAGTATTTAAAAAAAATAGTTGTTAGAATAATCAGAATTGAGACTAAAAACTCATTGTTGATCTTTCTATATGAAAAAGCCAAGTATATGCACAAAAAGAAGGATTGCTGATTTTTTTTGTTTGATATCATTTCTTCATCAAGCTATTGTTTGAGGATTTCTTATTACTCATTGAATGAGTCTCTTATACATGAAGCTAGTGAAAGGAAATATTGCATTGAAGAGCTTGGTCATTATAAAAAGAGGAGCATTTGGAGCAAACAACAATTTTAAAGCAAGAACAATTATAAAAATTATTCTTATCTAAGTATGGGATTTCAAAATTAGATGAATTTACACTTGAATGGATTTTAGGAGCTAGATGAATTTAGATAAGAATTAAATGAAGTTAAGTTAGGATTTAACAAAAATCAATTAGAATGAAATTTATTAATCAAGGATGAATATTAATCACATATAATCTATTGTAAATGAAATTATTATAGATGAAATATTATCCATAGATAAATTATTATTCAAGGATGAATTCTTATTTTTAGATAATTTTTTTTAATATTTGAATTATATTGAATTAAAATAAATAAATAAATATAAATAAAATAAAATAACATAAAAAATTATTACCTATGCATAAATTTTTTTGTATGACTTTATATTGCAAGTACAATTATATTGATGGTTTTTTTTATTGACAAGGATTTAATTTAGAGAATTTCGGAAGTAATCTAATTAAGATTTAAATAATAGATATAATTCACAAAATCACATAATTAATTCACTTATTGTGAAGTAGAATAAACTTCTAACTAGTGGAGATATTTTTCAACTCATACATTTTATTTTCTCTCTTTCTTTCTCTCTTTCTATATATATATATATATATATATGTTTTATTATCTTTCATTAAAATATATCTTATCATTTTTTTTTTTATTCTTTAAGTTCTTACCTTTGTTATATTGTGATTATTTGACTTTTATAATATAGATTTCAAAGCCCTTGATTATTGCTACACCTTCAAAAATTATAATTTACTTGATTTAAAGATGATTAGTTTATTAATTTTTTATATTATTAATGGAGTACTTTTTCTAGTTCCAATGGCATTATTCCAAGATGAGTTCTTAATGCCTACAACTTTTATTCACATTTTAGTCCTCTAACAAATCTTTATCTGGTATCATTCAAGTTATATCAAGGTTTAAAACTACCAATATGCCTTTGAAATTTGCCACCGTAAGTACTGGTTACAGATGTGAATAATATCTCTTAGTTAATGAATATAGCATCTATTTTTATTTTTTCACTTATTGTTGTGTTTGCAAATTACAACTTCTTATAAAAGTTGGCTCTTAAGTTCAAAGTATGTAAATAGATTCTTATATTGTATTATAAAAAATTATAAAATATTTTAATATATATATATATATGTTTTTATTAAGAAGCTATTTATTTAGAAATTTGACTCCAATAATAAAGAAGATAGATAATAAAAAAGAATGTTGTATTCTAATATATTCATGTTGTATAGAATTAGCTATAGGCTAATTAATGTAAGGAATTGTAATAGTTGGGTGAATGTATAAATGCAATCATCCAAAGATTGACTAGAATGTAAACAAAAAAAATAGTTGTTTTGAAAATTGTAATAACACAATTTAATCCCTAAGACATTACAACTATTTCAACACTCATTTGAAGAAAATCTAAGAAAATTTAACAAAATACATGAAAATAAGTACCAGTTGTGTACTGTAAGGAATTAAGAAATCACATTGCTAGAACTGAAGTGTGAGATTAAAAACTGTCCAGAAAAACAGTTTTTATTTACAACACTCGGTAAGTTCTAGTGCGAGCGACTACCAGTGGGCGAAGCTCCGAGGAACTACTCAATCAACCGGGCAGGTCTATCTGCCGGCAGTACCGGAAATCACCACGATTGCCGCATCCCTGTTTTACTATTCATGTTCGAAGCTCCTCGACACCGGTCCCCGTTATTCCCTTCAAACTTCCCTCTCTGCCTCGATTTATAAGGAATCAACCGCGCAACTTTCTAGCAAGGTCAAGAATATAAAGTGGAACCCTGCGAGATGCACCATGAGGCCTGCAATCTCTCAAATTCATACTTAAAACCAACCACAGCCACGGCTTGCACAAACAACTCCTCAAGACAATATAGCCTCGACCAATCCCAAATTTGGCGTGGGTACAGAGCACAAACCAAAGGCAACAGACCGCCACATCACTCCACGGCAGCTCAAACCAGGGATCACGCCAGTCCACGACACGCACACAACACCTTGGCATTTCTAGGCTTTCGACTCTTGGCAGGCACCAGGATACTCTCCCAGTCCTCCCAGTCCTCGTCCCCCCTGGTCCTCGTCCTTCAGCTCCAGCCCACCCTTCTTCCTGCGTGTCCACTCGCGACCTCGACTTTCTCCTCCCGAGCCCTGTCGTCGCCTTCTCTCGTGTCCACTCTGCCTGTTCGCTGCCGCTGCTCGAGTGTTGCGTGCGTGTGGTGGTGCAGTTCGGGGCGACATGAGTACGGAGAAGGAGCGCGAGAGCTATGTGTATATGGCGAAACTCGCCGAGCAGGCGGAGCGTTACGATGGTGCGTGCATGTGCGCGTGCTTTGTTCTTGATTTTTGGAGTTGGAGTTTATTTCCTTATCGTTTCCTGTCGTCGCTGTTTTCGAGGGGATGGCGTTGTTTTGATGGAATTTTTTCGAGGCGCTCTGTTTGGCCGGACGATAGTGGTGGTGAAGGCAGAAGTTGGGTTTCGTAGTGGCCGAAGTGCATCCATTTGTGTCGTCCGGGCTTTATATGGAGACAGCGGGTGACGCGTTGCGTAATCGCGAGGTTTTGCTGTGCCGCAATGTTTGGCGATTGGGGTGTAATTGTCTAATGCGGGTGAAGAGGGATGCGTGATGGTCTTTAGGTCCGTTTTCGGGATTTGCATCCATGTGATGTGTGCAGCGAAGTAGCGAGGCCTGTGGTTGGCGAGGGTGGAGTGTCCCAGTTTGTTTGTTTCTTGATGCGTTGTGCGACAGGGCAACCGTGGGAGCGTCGCGCCTGGCTTGGTTTCTTGAGGCAGCGAAATGAAGTAGAGGTGGTGAGCGTGGGATGGTTAGCACTTCCTTGGCGTGGCGATTATGATTTTCGTCTTCGGCAGGGGCAGGGGCAGGGGCAGGGGCAGAGTCTGTATTTCTTGGTCTCCTGGACGCATGCGGTGTGTTGGAACGGTTTTAGGTTGGTGTGGAGAGCAGTGTAGCGGCGCGGTAGCGGAGAATGTGGTGATTGTGTTGTGACGGAAGGATCGCCGCTAGGGTTGCCACTGGGTGTGACGAGAGTGTTTGCAGTTGGGAGGCAGAGACGTGAGTGCGGTTGGGCCCGGTGGGCGGCGGTTGTGTTGGTGGATGATGGAGCGTGTGGTGCGTTTTGTGAATTGCAGAGATGGTGGAGTCGATGAAGAAAGTGGCGAAGCTTGACGTGGAGCTGACGGTGGAGGAGCGCAATCTGCTGTCTGTGGGTTACAAGAACGTGATTGGAGCCCGGAGGGCGTCATGGCGGATCATGTCGTCGATCGAGCAGAAAGAGGAGAGCAAGGGCAACGAGCAGAACGTGAAGCGGATCAAGGAGTACAGGCACAAGGTGGAGGAAGAGCTTTCGAAGATTTGTCAGGACATACTGACGATCATCGACGAGCACTTGATTCCGTCGTCGAGCACGGGCGAGTCAACGGTGTTCTACTTCAAGATGTACGTGATGTCCTGAGCGGATGAAGTGGGGAGTGATTGGGAAGGAATGTGTGGTGTACTTTGCGTGTTATTGCAATGTGCACCGTGGAGGCGCAGTACCCCGGTTTGGGGGTGGTATGCCTGGTACGACCGCGGTCGTGCATGGAGGTGATGGTGGTGATGAGGCGCGTGGTTTGGGACGGCCTGACGAGCAGGGGGCTTTGGTGTAGGGGGGATGAAAGGTTTCGGCGAAGTTGTGGCAGTGCCGTGAACCGGTTGGGCATTTGAGTGTGTAGGTGGCGGTGCGGGTGTTGTGGCGTCAGTTGGTGGAAGTGTTTTTTTTTTTTTTTTTTTTTTTTTTTTTGTGTGTGTGTGTTGTGTTTGCTGAGGTGGTGATGGGGTGGATATGTGATGGGCGGGATATCAGGAAGGGTGATTACTATCGGTATTTGGCGGAGTTCAAGACCGGGAATGAGAGAAAAGAAGCCGCCGACCAATCTTTGAAGGCGTACCAGGTGCGATGCACAGGATGACATGGTGTGCAGTTGGGGACGGAGTGAGTTTGTGGAGATGGATAGATATGTGGCGCAGGCTGGGTAGAAAGTCGGCGTTGGACGTCGAGGCAGGGAGTGACGTATGTGTGTTGTGCGCGGGGGTTGCGAGGAGATCTGAAATGTGAGGTGCGATGTATGTGCGCAGGCCGCGTCGAACACAGCTACGACGGATTTGGCGCCCACGCATCCGATCCGACTGGGGCTGGCGTTGAATTTTTCGGTGTTTTATTACGAGATTTTGAACTCCCCCGAGCGGTAAGAGTGGCTGTGTGGCATGCGGCGAAGCGGTTGAGGGTGATTGTGGAGGCGTGGATGGAACGTGGGCGTGGGATGGATGGGTGGATAGCATGTGTGTGGGGGCGTGGTGGATTCATGGTTGTGGTGGTCCGCAATGCTGAAACGGGGTGTGGTGGTGTGAGATTTCAGAGCATGCCATTTGGCGAAGCAAGCGTTTGATGAGGCGATCGCGGAGCTGGATACGTTGAGCGAGGAGTCGTACAAGGACAGCACGTTGATCATGCAGCTACTAAGGGACAACCTGACTCTGTGGACGTCGGATCTGCAGGAGGAGGGAGGTGGGTAGACGTGTGGCGCGGTGCAGTGGTTTGCGGGTGGATGGATAGGGAGAGGGGGTGTGGGTTGTGCGTTGGTGGGAGTGTGTAGCGGGCGTGTGATGTGTGTGAGGAGGTATGGGTGGTTGAGGGCGTGTGCTTTGACGGGGTGGTGGGTGTTTCGGAAGGCAGTGTGGTGGGCGGGAGAGTGTTGGACTTGGTGCTGAGTTGTGGCAGCGTTGTGTTCAGGTGACGACCAACCTAAGGGAGACGACATGAGGCCCGAGGAGGCAGAGGTAATGCAGGGTTGAGTACGTGCGTGCACGTGTGTTGGGGCTGGTAGTAGCGCATTGGTGGTTAGGCGGGATGTATGTGGTGCGGGGAGGCGCGGAGGTGGGTGTGGCACGTTTGTGATGGTGGGTGTGGTGCGATTGTGGATGCAGTGACGACGGGGAATGTAAATGCGGAGGAAGGTCGTGACGTGGTCGGGTCGGGTCGGGCGATGTGCGGCTGCGAGCTGGACATTGTCCGTTATTGGTCTTTTGCGTAGGTTGTGGTGTGTGAAGAGGAGCTGTGCATAGTGTTTTGGGAAAAGATGCTAAAGTCTAAGGGAGCCAAGTATTGAAAGGAAGGATGCCTTCAAACACTGGTGTTCGGTAATATATGATAAGATGTGGGAGCGGGATGGTTGTTGTCCTTGCTGCGCGGTTCGCCAACGAGGTTGTTGTGTGGGCATGTATCCTTGGCGTGGTGGTCGTGTCGTGCATTGGTCGTGGTCATGTGGAGAAGAATGTTGAATGAGTATGGCAGGAGGCTTTGGGTGGCGAGTTGGAGCGTCGAAGTACCCGCTTTCTGACACGAGTGGGGAATAGTGGGTGTGCACTCCGAAGCGAATGGCCAGCCCGACAAGCTGGCAAGTGGGGGGGGGGGGGGTAGCAATGCATTTCGTTTTGACGACGGTGGCATGTTTCGCATTTCCTGTTTACATCGCTAATTGCATGTTGCTAGATGAATGGGAGAGTGCTGTTTCCGAGCGGGAGAGAGTGGTGTTGGGTGGGTAGACGCAGTGCATGTGGCGGGAAGCGTTTGCAGGTGTGGTGTATAATGTGGTTGCGGGAATGGTTGTCGTGAATGAGGTGCATGAACATGGTGGAGAGAGGTGAGTCGTGGCAGCTGGGTTGTAGTATGGTGACGTCCCCGTCACGATGCTTGGGAGAGTGAATGATATGGGTTGGGGCTTGAAATGTTTGGAGAGGAAGGCACAGGCATGACATGGAAGTCCGTGCATGTTGGCGGGACGCGTGCAGAGTGGACGTGGGAGGGGTGTGGTCGGTAGGTGGGGTCTCGGTCGGATATGGAGGTGGGATTGGGCTAGAAGGAAGGCAAGGGTGTGGACGTTGTGGGGGAATTTGGTGCGGACGATTATGAGTAATGGGCATGAACAGGGGTTCAGTGGGTGTAGGAAATGTTCACATGGAGTTGGTGTATAGTCTAGTGTTCGATGACTTCGAATTGGAAGTTGAGGGTGGGAAGTGTGTGTGTAGTTGTTTTTGTGTATATATGTTTGTCTTTATGTTTGTTGATCTCCAGAGATAGATTCTTGGTATATGTGTTGCCGTGCATCTCGAAACCGTAAAGTACGTGGACGTTGGCGGTGAGGTTGGAGGTGGTGAAGTGGTGGTTGTGGGGCAAAGTAGTTGGTAGTAAGTAGTAGAGTTTAGCTTTTGAGTGTGGTTTGTGTCATGTCGAGGGTCTGTTGGATCAGTGGCGCACTTGAGGTGCCAGTGAGATGGTCGGAAGTGGTTTGGCTTTAGATTTTTGTTGGTGTTCGGATTTTCTGGTTCGGATATCTCTGTGCCTGTCGCATGTGTTGATTTTTATTTGATTTGGTTTAAGTGGGCACTTTGTCTATATTTTGTTTGTATGGTCTGCTGTTCAATTTGGTGTTTGTGTGGGACATTAGTTTTTTGTCTTTTTGGATTCTGAATGTGTGCTGTGAGTTCATATTAATTTTTTCCTATGTACTATAAGCTATTATTAGTGTTGAGAATGTTTAGAAAGACACAAGAGTAATAGTAAGCCATACACACACACACAAGAGTAGTAGTAAGTCATACACTCAAGAGGGTTTCTAAGGAGAGAGTTTCACATACACAAAAATCTATTGATCTGATTGTGTCTCGTATACAAGAAGAGAAAAGAGAAAAGAGTAGAGGATAAATTGTACTTCTCCACTAGATTCTAAATATTGTAGCTACAATATTTATTGTAGTTTATAGTAAATACCATGGAGAGCGTTGGCTACATTTAATGATCTCAACACTCTTCTTTGTTCATCATAATATTCACATAATAAAAAATTTGTATAGAATCATGATTTATATTTTTTTGTGATCTTTCAAGATCAACAATTGTTGCCTCATTAAAACCTTATCTAAGAAAACTTTATTTTATTTAAGGACAAAACCATAGATGAAGAAAAAAGAGTATAACATCATTTTCTTTAATTATTTATAGAGTTTATTAACTTTTTTATTCAAGAAAAGTAAGTTGCCGCATATCAATGCCATAAGTAAGTCAACGATGGTTGCTTAATAGGAGAGCTTTGGTGAAGAGATCAACAAGGTTATTTGTAGATTTAATTTTCTTAATATAAGTGCTTGATCAGTAATTAAGTCATGAGTATAATTAAAATATTTTGGATCAATATGCTTTGTCTTGTCGCCTTTAATGAAACCAACTTGCATTTGTGCAATATAAGCACTATTATCTTTATGCAAGATAGTTGGAGAATCATCATATGAAAATCCACAGGTTGTTTGAATGAATTTATCAATTGATCGCAACCAAATACATTCTTGAGATGCTTCATGTAAGGGAATAATTTTTGCATGGTTGGATGAAGTTGCAGTTATTGTTTGTTTCACTGATTTCCATGATATTGCAGCTCCATGTCTTAAGAATACATATCATGTTTGAGATTTAGTTGTTGCAATATCAGATTTATATCTTGCATCACAATATCCAACCAATTTTGGATCTACGGATTGTGTGTAGTATAATCCCAAGTCTTCAGTACCTTTTAAATAACGTAATAAATGTTTGATGCCATTCCAATGTCGTAGTGTTGGATGTCTACTATATCTTGCAAGAACACTAATTGCAAATGCAATATCTGATCTTGTAGATGTAGCTAAATACAAAAGTGCTCCAATCATTGCGAGGTATGGATATTGGTCCCTCAATATTTCTTCCTCCTCCTTGCATGGATGGTATGGATCATGACCATCACGACCACGTCCAACCATTGGTATAGGCAATGGATAAGCATCAATCATATTAAATCTTTGCAAGTTTCGTCTAATATACGTTAGTTGATAGAGAAAAATGCTACCATCTATTAGATGCATAATCTGAAGACCAATGCAAAAAGTTGTTTTTCCTAGCATTTTCATCTCAAATTCATGTATAAGTAGGTTTGTAGCTGTAACACATGCAGATGTAATACCTACTAGGTTAAAATCATCAACATATACAGTGATGATCATAAAATCAGTTATATCTCATTTGATAAACAAACAAGGGGTTAGTGGATCACTTATAAAATTATTTGTAATTAAATAATCTCAAAGACATTAATACCGCATTCGTCTAGATTGTTTTAAACCATACAAGGCCTTACATAATTTAATACCATGATATTTTTCTGGAGCGAGTTGATTTGGAGTTCCTGTTTCTAAACCAAGCGGAACTTTCACATAAATATTTGCATCAAGAGAACCATATAGATATGCAGTTACTACATCCATCAGATGCATCTCAACGGTGGCATGAACTGTCATTCCAATAATATATCGAAATGTAATTGAATCCATGACAAGAAAATATGTGGATTCATGATCAATGCCAAATCATTGAGTAAATCCTTGAGCAACAAGACGAGCTTTATAGTAGATTATTTGGCCATGAGCATCTCGCTTGCGTATTAATATCATTTTATATCCTACACGACGAGATATAAGAGTGTCTACAATTAGACCAAAGACTTTCCTCTTACGCAAAGAGGCATACTCCTCCTCAATAGCAGTTTTCCATTTTGACCAATCTGAGCCACACATCGCCTCTTTGATGGTTTGAGGTTCAGGATTGTCTTCCTTGCAAGAAAAGGCTTCTATAATCATATATGCAAATGATTCATCTACCGTAATAAATGGTCTATCCCAAATATCATCTGTAGAACAATACAGAATAGATAATTCTTTACTCAACTTGTTCTTATTCCTTCCAACTCCAAGATTGTTTTTCATAGGAATTGAAGGTACATTATGCATGGATATATCATCATGAATTGGTAGTCATGCAAGATGAGTGGCAATTTCTTGAGAAATAATACCAAGATTAGTCAATTTTATAGCTTTCTTCTTATATGATTGCTTATCTTGTCTACGAGTTCTTTTAGTTGTTGTTATAGCTTGAGGTATTGTAGTCAATGGCGCTGCAATTTGAGCAGGTGCATTCTAAGCCTCATTAATAGGAACTCTTGTAATTCTAGGTACATCATTGAAGCCATCAAGTGTTTCATCTACGATCCGTTTTAAATACAAAATCTTAGCAATTTCAGTTACTGCCAAAGATGTCGTAGGATCGAGATTCATTGTAAACATTTCTGGTGCTTCAAATATGAGTACTTTATTTCTTTGTTGATTGAATACTCCTCCTTGAAGAGATGGGAATACAGTTTCTTCAAAACGGTAATTTTGCAAACGTGCACATAATAATGTGCCAGTTGATGAATCAACAATATGAATAATGCTTGGTGAATCAAAACCAACATATATATCTTCTTGTTGATGAGCTCCAATGGTACGCCATTGAGGTTTTGGAACTCGAATCCAGGCACAACAACCAAATACTCGTAAGTGAGATATATTTGGAACATGACCCAAAAAGAGCTCATGTGGTGAAACAATTTCAAGAGAGGAAGGACGGAGGTGTATTAATGCTGCAGCATGTAAAAATTGCATAATCCCACATAGATGCAGGTAGATTTGCGTGAAGGAGGAGTGGCCTGGTAATGAGTTGTATACGCTTTATAAATGACTCTGCAAGTCCATTTTGAGCATGTTCATATGGAACACAATATGTCAACTCGATTCCTGTTGTAGTACAATAGTCTTCAAAAGACTTTGATGCGAATTCTTTTACATTATCCATATGCAATGTTTTTATAGGATAATTAGAAAAATGTGTCCAAAAGCAAATAAGTATAGATATAAGATTGGCAAACACCATGTTTCGAGTTGATAATAATGAAATATGTGATTGTTTACCTGATGCATCAACAACGACCAAAAAATAATGAAATGGTCCTGATATTGGATTAATAGGATTACAAATATCACCATGTAATATTTCAAGCATTGGTGGTAATTCTTGTAGAAGTTTCCAAATTGAAGGCTGAGTAATCATTTTACCTTGTACGCATGCACGACATAATTCCACAAAGTCTATATCTATAGGCTTTAAATTGTGCCCAGTTATACATGGAATGATCTTTTTAAATAATGTGGATCTTGGATGTCCTAATCGTCTATGCCAGAGAGAAATACAACTCTCTGAGATAAATGATGTAAAATTAAGTATAATGGGAGGCCAAATCATAATTCGGTATAAACTATTTTCTGTAGCAAAAGCTTTTTCAACAACTTTATGGTTC